CTCACTCACGTGGTTCGCTATTCGTTCTTTCGTTGGCTGGTGTTAGTGGGGTTAATTCGAGGTTCGACTTTGTACAGTGGTTTTGCAAATTCGTGGCTGTGGTGCGACTCGATTATCGGTGAAGGAGAGAAGAAGAAGAAGAAGAAGAAGAAGAAGAAGAAGAAGAAGAGGAGGAGGAAGGTGCCGGGACGATTTGGAATATTCGTGAAAAAGAAGGTTCGTGAAACGTGAGATTTCATCGAATAATCGATTTCTTTAGTTAATTTTACCCGTCATGATTCGAGAAATCCTCGTAAAAGATTTATCTTGGACTTATCCCGCGAATCCAACAACGATGGAAATTGAAAAGGTTCGGTGCGGTTACGATAAATCCCCCCGCCCCTCCTGCCCCCCCCCCAACCCCCTGTTTTTAATCGTAGCGAATCAATTGGATCGCGTGGAAAAATAGACGGTTTTCGAGGCAAATTACGGATTTGTTTGGGCCGACATTACATAAGAATACGCGGCCGTTTTCATTACCTATGTCAAAGCTAGATAACTCAAATAGGCCCCGATAACATTTAATTACAACAACAAATATATACACGCATAATATTTATCTATATCCATATAACTGATAATTCTAAACATTCAACGTAAATTTGTCGATATTTACGATCGAATTAAGCCTCTTCTAACTATAAGTACACTCGAATTCTTCTTCTCAGCAAGGAGAATTATCAAACAATCTTATTATTTTAACAAGGAACGGATCGCGTTCAGACAGATATCCCATTTTCCAAACTTTTCTTTTCTCCCCCTCCTCCGTAATTTTACGAGTCGTTCACGCAAGCTCGTTAAAAACGAAGGCCATCGTCTCCTCGTCGTGGCCATCGTCGATAGAAGGAAGAAAAAAGTTTCGAAAACTTTGTTTGGAAAAATCATTCGAAACGGTGCGGAAAATCAACAACGCGCCGGCGGATGGTGTTTCAGCATCCGACAATCGAGTTTCGCAATCGAATTTTCCGCTTTTTCCGCCGCGTCGCGCCTCCCGATCAACGCCGATTAATCGTTTATCGCGTCTCGAATAATTAACCGTCCCATGAATATTAAACGGGCTTAATAAAAAGAGATCGAATTTTCGGCTGATAATTCGGTTAGCTTAACTCGATCCACCCGCGCGGTTTCCTCCCTCCGTCGCGACGCGACGCGTCCGTTCCACGCCTCGCAAGTCGAACGCCATTTCCTCCTCGTTACTTCCCCATTATCCATCCCTTTGCATCCCCTCCTATTTTATCGAAAAGAAGAGAAATATCGACATATATTATTACTCGCCTCGTCCATCTCTCCTTTCTCATTCCTCTCTATCTCCTTCCTTCGAAGCGATGTGTCATCGAGCGACGTTTCCTTCGCTCGATCGTTTCGAAATTTCGTAATTCTAAAACCTAAAGAGTTGTGATATATGCGCGCAAACGCGTGCCATATGCTTCCGACGGGATTGATCGAAACGACTTGTAGAAAAGAATGTTCGCGAATTCTCAATTGAAGAAGAATTGCGGGATAAATGGCAAGTGTGCTCGAACGATTCGAGGATTATTTTTTCGAGGAAGTGGCAAGTACGGTCTAATGCGTCTCGTCCCGCGACACGAAATCTCGAAGGGAACGAACGAACGAACGAAGAGAAGCATCGAAGGGTGGTCGATGCGCATTTGTTCAACGACTTAACACGTCCCTCCCCTCGCCCAGCGGTGTAAATGATCGAAGAGTGACCCATTTCGCGTGCTCGCCACGGATGGAAGAAATCTCGTTCGCGGCGGTTTCACACTGGCCGTTAGAAACGAGACGAGGCGGGGCACGGGAAATGTTAAAAGGGGATAGTTTTCTCTCTCTTCCAAAGTAAAATTGTCGTGCAGTTCCCGGACGGGGAGGGAAAAAATTCTGGCCGCACACGTAAGTGAAGAATACGTGGAAAAATACTTGGACTTAACCGCTACGACGACGAGGGAAGCAAATATTCCGCGGAAACGAAGTGATGCAAATTTCAAGACTCGAAGTGCAAACGCGACACCGTTTCAAACAATGTACAATGTGGCGCGACATTATTTATGATAAACAGCGAGGCGGGCCAGCGTGGTAATAATTTCACGGATTGTTACACGCCGCGATCCACTATGATCCTGCTCGCCGCACTCCGATCAATTGAACAAACGGGTTAGTCGCCGATTAATCGACGCTGGTCTCTCAACCGATTAAAACGAAATCGTTTGCGAGATTGTCGCGCCAATTTTTCCACAAATTTTCTCTCCTCGCGAAACTCACGATCGAGGATACGTCGTTCAGTTTAATTTTTCATCGATTTTCCCTTCACTCGCGTACGAATAAGCGCACGATCCTCGAGCCAACGTTCATCGTGAATTTTGCCGATTTCGCGTGCGAAATTGTTAAAATTTTTCATCGGTTGACAAACGTTCTCTTCTCCCGCGTTCAGCAAGGAAACGTAATATTGGACGATCCGCGGGGCTGTGCGTGCAGGCCGATTAAAATGGCGCGGTGGAAAAGCTGGGCTTCCGCCGACGCGGGGGATTAACATTATTGCAGGGCCGCCGCAAAGTGCATTTTTAACTTTATTAAGCCGGGGCTAATACGGTTCGCAAACACGTCTCCGGGATCGAGAGAGATCCGGTAATCTCGGAAGCAGCGGCTCGAAATTGCCCAACGATTCGCGGATCGTTCGCTCCTTTAATTGGACGGATTCTTTTTAAATTCGGCTTGTGCGCGCGCAGAAAGTTGTGCGCAAGAAAATCGTCGATGAAATGACGATTTTTATCGACGAGATGTAAGAGAAGAAGAAGAACGGGGTAAACGAGTATTTTTTTTCAATACACAATGTTCGCGGATGGTGGAACCTTTTGCGTTCGCTTCTCGTCACGAGGAAGGAATATTTTCATTTTTTCTTCTTCTTCTTCTTTTTTCTTCCCCCCCCCCATCTATTTTATTCCCCCAGAGTGAGACGGCTCAACGCGCAGATCAAATATTCCCCGGAATTGATTTAAAAACTTGGATCGAGCGGAAAAATCTTTTTACGATCGGTTAGAAAACTTTGTTTGCCGTCGACCAACAGTTTCGAGACGATATTTTCGCCTCGTTCGTCTCTACGCTTAACACGTCGCGTCATCGTTTGCTAATTGTTAATAATTTATACGCAATTTGCTATTTCAACAAGTGTCAACCTCATCTCCGTATATCTTTTTCTTAACGCGATGGATATTCAAGCGTGCCTCGAACGAAACGATCGACGAACATTTTTTTTTTTTTTTTCTTCTTTTTTCTTCTTCCATCCATTATCGCGATATACGCGGTTTATCGCGGATCAGCATCGGCGGTGTAAATTCGTCGAAAGCGTAGTCGGTGTAGTAGTGGTAGAGTAGAAAAAAAAAAAA